TTGAATCCTGCCTTGCTTTTCTCTTGATTTTGAATAAGCAAACATCTTTTGAATAAGCAAATACAAAGGATCTTTTATTCAGAATTGGTACTTTCCCCTTTTCAATTAGTAGAATAGCAGAAATGTTCAGCCCAGTAATGGAGAGTAGATGAAAAAATGACATTGCAAGGGCAATTGTTAGATGGCAACAAATAAATTCATTAACTCTAATTTCTGGCACCATCTAATGGTTGTTTAGATTCTTTTCAGCAGCCAGACATGTTGGTTTCTCCTGCTTCCTTGCTCCAGTTCACTGCTTTTTCAGCCTCTAATCACATGAATTCAGGAAAAAATGATTTTGCTAACATTTTCATTTTTCAAATAGAAAACAAGCTTTCTTCCATTATAAGGAAATTTCCTCCACAATACTCCATCCCTATTGGCCACTGTGAATTATTTCCTTCTTGGAAAGAAAGGAGAAAAGACAAGAGCTCATAGCAAGTTATTTAGTGCTTAGATTCTGTGTGGATCAAGCTTGATATTCTTCTAGAAAATTCAGTGAGAGAAAAAAATGAAATAACTAGTTCATTGCAAGGAAATTTTGATATGAATTCATCACATATAATGTATTTCCACAACATTATTGACAAGAAATATAGAAATTGCTGTGAAAGAAACAAACTGATTCAGAAGAATGGCACACAAGAGGAAGGAAGGAAGGAAGGAAGGAAGGAAGGAAAGACTATATACAGCAAGTGCCAATTCAAATGGATATAACAAATTTAAATGCTCACTTGTCGGTGAGGATACAAACCAACCACTAGTATAAGTTCCAAATGTATATTTTAAGACTATATTATGTATTTTAATATTAAACATGAAAATTGATGCTATTATGTTATATATTTTGCTAGACACCATCATACTGATAAATATTAAATTTTAAAAATAAAATTATTCACATAAATAAGTTTATATCAAGTAATTTTAATGTCAAGGAATAGAACAACTTTTTAAAAATCTTTTTTGTTTCCTATAAAACAAACTCTCAATTCTTTATGTAATTCATTGCTAACATATCAAATATCCTTTCAAAAATTAATCATGCCTGCCATATCATAGCATAACCATTACAGTTTATAATTACTAGTACAGTATGGGAAAGATAAGAGTTCAGAGGCCTCAAATTAGCTTTCCAATCTTCTGAAGGGCTCAGAAAAACATTTAGCAAGGTGGTAACATCATCCTAAGAAAAGGCAACATGCTTTGCAGAACTTTTAAGGATGAGAATGGGAATGGGAAACTTTTGGAAGGCAGTTTCCATTGTCCAATACAAAATGGCCCTAAATCACAATGTTTGCCTTTCAATTCCATTAATTGGAGGAGGGGGTAATACACTGTCAAATTTGATAATCAGGGATGAAATTTCAAAGCAATATACCAGGATTCAGAACACAGCATTCTTAGCAATTTATTTTACTAAATAATCTAATAGTTTTATATTAGCATAGCTACTTGTTTTATTAATCCTACAAATGTTAGCTCAGAAATAATTCCTATTAACTTGAATTTATTGCCTAGGAAGTATTTATAGGATTTCAATACAATATGTAACTTCACTATTTTTAAGAGAAATATATGAAATATGCCTCCCAATAAAACATTCAAAATGTCTCATGCATCCTTGATTCCAGCAACTACAAAATCTTTCATAAACTCTCAATGGTTTCAATGGGCCTTAAATAGTGCTACTTCCGCTAATTACACAATATAAAACCACTAAGAAGTGAATTTAGGTATCACAAGTTAATGTTTTTTTCCAAATTGACATACAGGATCGTAGTTTATATGCACATTCATGTTTTTCTGCATAATTTACTCCAAAATAGGGATTAATCTCATCTTAAAGAACATTTCTGATTAGCATGGCAGCCTTCCATTTAAATTCCCAAATCTACTGCATTTGTTAATTTGAAAGTTGAACAACACAATGGCCATACTCCATCTTGTCATTCTTCTAAACAAGCCATTTTAGTGTTTCAATTCCCAACCAATTCTCCAATCATATATTAATAGTTCCCTAGGTGTTTGAAAGGGAGAAAAAGGCAATGTATATCTTTATAATGTAAATGAACAGAGATAAACACATGTATTTGTAATTGGGAATTTTCAAGAATTCAGAAAAATCCTAAAACACAAATGAAAATTGGAAATTTGCACAATCCAAATTCTTATAGTAAAAAAATATATAATTTTGGACCAAATTCTATTTCTTAAAATAGTAATTTACTAGCTGACAATGTATAAGAAATGAAACAACACTAACCTTGGAAAAATGGAGTGTCCCTGGTTATGAAGCTGGATAACATTCTAATGTAATTAATATTAACAGAGATTTCAAATGTAATTAAATGCCTACTAAGCTCACTCATTCTAATATATATCAACATAATTCATCTTCTAATATAGGTCAGGTTAAAAGAAATTCAAGCTGCAAAAAGTAGCATAAATACTATCCTATGATCAAAGCAATATGCCTCTTTATTATAATGCACATCTTAAGCATCTTCCACTGTTATATCTATTGATATGTGTAGTATGTGTTTTTCTGTCAGACAGATTTATACACTACACATGCAATTGTTTCAAGTGTATTTTTGCATCTTGCAAGCCATGTCCCTCCACCCTATAACCCAGTCTCTTTACAATTTCATCTCAAATACATACTGATAGGTCTAAAAATAGTCAATAATGCATATACATTTCATTTACATCTGATCATATACAATTAACCTAAACTCTATCCAGGTTTTTATTCATCTTTTATTGCATCCACATGATCAATATTTCTAAAAACCAGTTTCTTTCCAGCCTCATTTACCCAGACCTATTTTATTTCATTAATGCTTTTTTAAAGGGAAACAATATATTTTTCACCTTTTCTTTTGGCTTACTTCCATTTTCTCTATCTCCAAAGAGACATTTAACAGAACATTTCTCAGCATGCTCTATTTCAGAACAATATTTTAAGACTGCTCTAGCCAACAGCCATAACACAACACACCTTCTATCTTAGATACATGACCTGGCCACCTCAGATGAGATGGTGATTGTGCTGTTCATAGAAAAACACAGCCGTAAGCACAAAAAGTAGCCACAGTACCTGGCCAAATTTCGTTTGTGTCCTTTATCTCCCCCCCCACCCCCAATGCTCCTACTAGCACAATGAAAACAAACGCATTTGGAGAAAAAGAAAAGGATTTGCAGCAGTTACGTGATGTCCCCAAGCCAACGCCTAGCCAGATCGGGGGAGGGGTGGAAGTATCGCGCAAGTCCTGCGGGGAGGTGGTTTGCTGCCAGCTCATTCTGCATGTTTCAAGGGATAAAACTGAGCATTTCCCGCCCCAGCATCGAATAAGCCAACAGTTAAGAGGTAATATCAATCAATAATATTCAACGGTGCTTACACTGAATTATAACGAGTGCCATTCCCAAGGAGGAAAAATGTATACATAAGCTACATATGTGTAACGATCCAACTAGTGTGTGAAAAATAAATGTTGACCATTGCCTCCTCCCTGACTCCTCTGTTTTCCTTTATGCTAAAGGGGGGGGTGTTGTCTACCGGGGACCATGTATTAACCATTCTCAGCCATTAAATCCATTAATCCATACAGTGCAGATAAAACCACCGATTTTTTAAACACAAAATTATGGTGTACCAGAAAGGATGGAAGGGGGGGGGGGGAGAATGGTCCAGAGTTGCTCTTGAAACTGATGAGTGGCAGAAGCGGGAGGGAGGTTAGGATTAGAATTCCAGCCTGAACCTACCTACCTACATACTTACCTATCTATCAATCCATCCCCCCCCCCTCCTCCCTCCCTCCATGAGTAACTGCTGCAGCTGGTATCGCAAACCGGATGCTTTTCTGCAAAATTTGCTTGATTATCATCTCGCATCCCTAGCATCAACCAGACACCCAATGAACGACACCTCCTGCATTCCAACACACAACGGTGGTAAAGATGCGTTCTTAGTTCCCGGTCGTAATCCTCCCAGCCTCCCATGCATTCGACCGGCTCCAGTTTGCACACAGCTACAGCTCCTCCTTACTTAATGGTGGCCAGCAGAGAAAATTCGCCGCATTCTCCCAGTTCGCCTCTCCTCTCCAGATATCACCTTTAACAGTCGGATTGATTTGTTTCCCAGGAAATCGAGATCAGTTTTGCTTGGAATTTTTCTATCTCAACTATCAGGACTGTGGCGGGTTTATTTTGTTATGGCTCACCAAAACAAATTTTAAAACCTACCCACTCACCCGTTACCAGTATACGACTATGCAGCTCTCCCGCTGAGGGTACGCGTTGAAAAGAGCGGCAGGCGTCAGCTCTTCTGGGTAAATAATTCGCTGTATCGAAACCGGTCTGCCTCTGGATGTTCATATGTGAATGTGTGCGCGCGTGTGCAAAAAAAGCGAAATATGGAGAAGCGCAGCCCTGGGTTTGCAGGCAGTCCCCGCCTCACCCTCCTTTCTCCTTCCTCCCGGCTAACCACCTCCTCTAGCTACCGAGGAAAGGTGGTAAATCGGCTTATTAAATCCTGGACCCAGTCGAAACTATTTGTGGAAACTCCAGGAGCGACCAGAAGCAAAGCGACCTGTACTGCCATCACCGCCTGTGTTGGCCAAGCGGCTGCCAATATTTTATGCCAAATATATCGGGCATATTCACTCTCTGTGTAATTGTTTCCATTTGCAATAAAACTGGCATTACACGGCCAAGTCCCCTTCAATCTCCTTAAAGCCTGATGCTAGTTGGTGGTGGATCAGAAGGAACATAACCAATTGCCTGATAAATCCATAAACGAGGGGAAATGTAGTCTCAAAACGTTTATCTGCATAAAGCAAACCAGATTATCTCTTGAATCTCAACAGCTTATCCTAGAAGTAGCCCCAGTTCCTGGGCGCCATTCTTCATCTCAATCGCTCTGCCCCTCCCTGAATTCGCGGCCATTTACTTGCCTGAAAAATTAGCAGCTCCGTTTTTGCTGGCTTCCCTCATGTTCATCAAAAAGCAACAGGGCCCAGAAATCGGTAGTGCCCACCTTTTGGCATCGGGAAAGTTGATTTGCTGCCAGCTTCTCCTACTGCTATCTAAACCTTGGGGTTGGTGCGCTTGTATCCACAAGCATGGAACTGGGTGACAGGATCAAGAAACCAGTTCCGCTCTTCACACCGTACTTTATCGCGGCGGATGCTCAACACTGCCACTAGGGGCATGCGAGGCCTCCTTCCCAAATTGCTGGTGCGCCTCAGGGGGTGGGGTGGAGTGGAGTGGGAGCGTGAGGCCTGTGTTTCCTTCCACCGAGAAATTCCTATACCCAAATGACTGACGCCAACAATACATAAATAAGTGGCCCTTTTGCCCTGTGGATGGATCTGATTTTACCAGCCTTTGTCCTCAAGTCAAGCCACAGTAATTTCGATGCCTCCCATCTCAACTCGTTCCTGGTTCCGGTGAAACAAACGCCGTGTATTATTGCACCTGCTGGGAAGAGTTGGGGCTGCGCACCTGAAACTGACGTCTCCTTCCTTGTAGCACCAGCTTCAGGATGTTATAGTAAAAGGAGAGGAGCTCGTTTACCCCGCAAAAACAGAAGTAACAGGTTTTTGTGCGTTCACATGGTGAACGTGAGGAGTGCCGGTCGCCATTAAACGAGGAAGCAGTAACTAACAAATCAAATTTTGTATCTTAACCATATCTCATAGGGGAGTATTATTATGGGGACTCGGTTCGTGGTTATTAAATATATGTGTTGGGAAGCGCTACTACCCACGTTCATTTGGACAAGGGATAATTGATTCTTCTGTACCTTTAAGAAGCGAAATGGATTCTATTCCTCTACCAAAAGCAGCACGATAGCATTCTGCCAATTTTCAATGCCAGGCGCTCAGCTTGTTAGATTCAGGTCTGTTGTTACCTACGGTTCTGCCACGTCAGAGAGGCAGGTCATGTGGGCTCTCCGTAGAGCTAGTTCAGACAGAGCAGAAGAGGGTAGGGCTTACCTGTTAATAGGCTGTTGGATTGTTTTCCAAATGAGCAGGGAAGAGGGGGTGGAAATCTCTGAAATGTTGTAGATTGCCTTTAGCTTATGTGAAGATTTTCACCGATTTAGTAAACATACAAACCAAACAGAAATCAGTTACATTTTTTCACATCTCAAAATTGTTTGCTATGAACCCGTTGCATCTCTCTCCTTTTTTTCCTCATGATCCATTTTGTTTGCATTACGCTATGCATCATCTAGACTAGAGGCTGTTTTATTTCCCTGTGGAATGGCTGCCTTTAGGCCTTTCTTACTTTGTAGCAGGGCTTGCAAGGATGTTGGATTTCTCATCAGATTGCCAATTCCCTCCCTTGTTCCTACTCCTTTGAAAGATGGACTTTGAAAGATGGAAAGATTCAGAAGGCTCTTATAGAGTTGACCATTATGCCCTATCTCACAAGATACAACTGTGAGAGGGATCTAGGTCTCCTTATTGATCACCATTTAAATAGCAGATTGTTGCAGCTGCCAAAAAACCCAATGCAGTCCTGAAAAGGACTGGAAACATGTAAAATTGTTTCCACCTTCTACAGGGGAAACAAGTATGGGAAATGGCAACTTCATGTCTATACCGAATAAGGCTCAAATATATTACAAGGTAACATTTGAATAGATGTGCTATATTTCAGCAGTCAACAACTGGTGGGCCACAGCCCATGAGAAAATTTTGGTGAGCCGCAGAAAAATCTCACCCCCAGAGCACCATGTAAATTAAAGGCAATTAATCCAGGCTGCGCAGAAGCACAAGGTTGCGCCACCCACATGGCCCACGGGAACCCTCCCCACCCACTCACTCCTTACTGGGCAAACTTGCCTGCTAAATTGCTATTTTTCCTTTTTCTGACCATCAGGTGTTTTGCTGTGGTGGGAGATTTAGATTAGCTAGGAAACAGGAAATGGTTGGATTTCTTGCTTTCTAGCTAATTTTTAGATCTTCTGCTATGCTTTTAAGCACAGCCAAATCTCCCTTAGGACTGAAGGTTCTATTATTCAGTGCAGACTCATGGCAAGCAAATTTGAGAGACTGAGCTAGCCAATGGCAGATAGATCACTCAATGATTCTGTGAGCAACTCAATCTGCCTGCCTTCTTTGCCTGATTTTGGGTAAAAGTTGCTCTTTTTTTATAAAAAATTCAATATTTACATACATGGTGTGTTGTGAGTTAATTTTGTGAGTTTGCAAGCAAATTTTATGTGACAGACTGAGCTAGCTGATAGCAGATAGATAGATCACTGAATGAATCTGTGCAACTCAATCTGAGCAACTCAATCTGCCTGCCTGCTTTGCCTGATTTTGGGTAAAAGTTGCTCTTTTTTAAATAAAAAAATTAATATTTATATACAAATTAATAATATTTACATACAAGCCATGCCCAGCCAGTCACATGACCACCAAGCCACACCCACAAATTAGGCCACACCCACAGAACTGGTTAGTGGTCCCTGGGATTTAAAATTATGAGTTTGGTGGTCCCTGAGGTCCAAAAGGTTGGCGACCTCTGCTATATTTAACCGAAGCCAGCATAGGTTTCTCACAAATAAAATCCCAGCTACCTTATTTCTGATATGGATTTAGTTTTGTAAGAGATGATACTTGTCTTTAAATACCTGGAAAGCTATTACTTTGAAGATAGACTGTAATTATAGATATTGCTTGCTTAAAGATGCTAATTGGGATGGAAACTCTATTGTAAGCCAAACAGTCATAAATTTAAAAAGTATGCCACTTAGAAAAGCAGGCCTGGCAGTCCCAGTTGCCAGCAATAAGTGAGGACTATGCAGGTCAAGGAAGGACCTCATAAGACTGCAATGTGCAACTTCTAACAAGATGGCTTCCCCATTAATTTTGCTTGTTGGAAGCTGGTAAAGAAGATTGCAATTGTAATCACTTGACTCTGGGACCAGCAATGTCATAATAACAAGCTGAGTTGCTAAATATCTGGTGGCAATTATGTAAGCACAATGACATTATCCAGCACCATTATAAGTTCAAATAATTGCTGAATGTCATTAAATGAGGATCAACTATTTTCTCTGTTACCAGAGTGCAGGATCAGAACCAGTGGTTTAACTTTAAGGGAACAAGGTTCAGGCCAGGCCAAAGTAGAAAATTCTTGACCAGAGGAACTGTCATTCAGTGGAAACACTGCCCCCCACCCCCACCCCGTCCTTTTGTAAATGTCCAATGAGATTCAATCTAGGTATTTTGGTAATAGTCCTAAAGTTTGGTGGGCTTTCACATTCCATTCTCACGCTTCGGTCCTTGGGTCAGACTCTTTCCTGGGCTGGCATCTCTGATTCCTCTCATCCTGTCATCCCCCCCACCCTGGTTCCTTTCGTCCTGTCCTCTCCCCCCTCCCTATATCCTATTACTCCTCCTTTCCCCATTCTATGGCAGGATGGAAGACTTGATACTCTGCCCCTCAGGAATAAAGTGGTTTGTTCTTGAAACAAAAAAAAACAAGGTAAATGTTTAGTGTTTATAAGATTGTCAGTGGGGTTTGTCAGGGTACTTGTGGAATTTGTGGAGGAGTCTTGGGGCTCAAACATGCTGAGCATCAACCCATTCAGTTTCAGAAGGGGAAATCCTTCCATGATATCAAGTATTGTAATTTTCCTCTATGTTATGTGAAACTAAGATCTCTGACTTAAAAGTGTTGTTCTCCCTTGGTAAGGACAGGGGTTGAATGTGATTGTTTCTCAGAGTGTAAGGAGGAAGTGGTTGCTGGTTTCAGCAAGTTACAATGAAACACCAGTGAATGCATCTGAGGACTTTGGGAGTTTCAATTGCACCGTCACTGGGTTGATAATTTTGTCAAGGCCTGATGTATTTTGGGCCAAGTTTCTTTGACGGTTGTCTGCATTGAAGGTATTGGTGGATAAATAAACTTCATAGCCAATCTTTTTTTTTTAAACAAATTTTATTAATTTTTTAAAGACAAACAAAACATAAGACATAAAAGCATAAAACCTCCTTTCAAAAAGTTACTTATAGGTTTTAACAAGGCAAATAAAACATTATTTTATACAACATAAAATAATTTCACATTATCACATTTCCATTTAAGCATATATATATCTTTTCCAAATTTCTTGTTATTTCTCCCTTCACTTTTATTCAATTATATTTCTTTCTATCAAGGTTTTATTAATTCTCAATCAAACATAAACACACAAAATACAAAACATAAAACTTCTTTTTAGAAAGTGGCTTAGCCCTGGGTTACATCTTTTTTTACAGACCAAAATCAAATTCATGCTCACCTTATATACCATTACTTATCTTATTTACCATTCTATATTTTCTATATAACTTCTCCCCTCTTTTCCTTAAATCATTATACTTATATCTTTTGTCCGTTCTTTTCCAATTATCTATTTATCTCTTCTCTTTAACAGAAAATTTCCCCTGTAATCACTGGCTGGAGTATGACGCCTTTCTATCTTTCCCCTTAATTTAACACTTGAAATAATGCATAATTTCCATTCTGATTCTGCTTAATACATTCTACATGTTACATTTTAAAATAAGAAAATGATAAATTTATAATATAGATAAATATATAATTTCCATTCTAATTCTGCTTAATACGTTATTTAAAGCAATGAGAAACAAAAAAACCAATAAATTTATAGTAACATTGAAACAATAGCAAATAATTAAACATTTTACACATTCCCTTTAATGTTTTATTAAATATTAAAATCTATCATTATTAAGCATTTAATATTTTAATATTTTATTAGATCTTATTCCAATTTTCTATTTCAAATACAAGTACTACAATACTATCTTATGTACTTTTGCAGAATCTTTTTTAAATTATACTTTACCCTTTGTCTCTAAAAATAAATCTGCTTTTTACCATCTTGTTTCAAGCCTTTGTGGCTTTCCCCCCCCTTTTCCCTTCCTTTCTTATCCAATCTAGCTTTTTTGCCCCGCATCTCCTAACCTCCGCCTTTTTAGCTTCCCCTGTCTGTTGTATTCCTCTTTTCTGTTGCTTTCTGACATTGTATCAATTTTTCACCTTATTTTTCTCTTTCTTGGTTGTTTTTTTAACTCTTAAATTCTCCATTTTCCTTCCCCTCTTCCTCTTTTCTTTCTTAATTAGTCCATTAAAGATGGCTTCTTCTTCTTCTTCTTCTTCTTCTTCTTCTTCTTCTTCTTCTTCT